TTTCCAAGAGCGCCCCAAGACAGCCCAAGAGGGCCCCAAGACGACCCAAGAGACGCTCAAGACGGCCCACGAGGGCCCGAAGACAGGCCCAAGAGGGGGCCAAGAGGGGGACCACGGACCGAAAATCCGAGCCTTCCGCCCCAAGAGGGCGCCAGGAGGCCCAAACAGGCCCCCAAGAGGCCCCAAGGGGCCGCCAAGAATCCCCCGAAGAGGCCCCAGGAGGCTCCCAAGGAGCCCAAACGAGGCCCCTACAGAGGCCCCAACAGCTTCCAAAATGGCCCCGAAGAGGCCTCGAGCCCGCCTCCGAGCTTCCTCGCCGCGAGGGTGCCAACACGGCCCCAGACCGGCCCAGGACGGCCCAAGGCGCGCTCAAGACGGCCCAAGACGATTCCAAGACGGTCCCAGGAGGGTGCGCCCAGGACGGCCCAAGGACGCGCCCGTCGGGGCCTCAAGACGGGCCAAGATGGCAAGAGAGTCCCAGCTGGCAAAAATCGTTAATTTTCCATTGTTTACTGTTACACCCTTTGCGTTTCCCGCCGTTTCGGCGGTCCGATGCACCAAGAGGCCCCAGAAAGTCCCAGGAGGGTCCGAGGAACCGCCCAGGAAGGCCCCAAGACGGGCCAAGACGGACCCAGCACAACCCAAGGCGCGCTGCGACGGCTCAAGACGGCTCCAAGACAGCCCCAAGAGGGTGCCAACACGGCCCCTGCTGGGCCCAGGACGGCCCAAGGAGGCGCACAGGAGGGGCCCAAGACGACTCCAAGGCGGCCTCCTCACGGTCCCAGACGGCTCCAAGACAGCCCCACGAGGACCCCGATGGGCCCAGGACGGCCTACGGACGCGCCCATGAGGGGCCCACGACGAACCAAGACGGCCCCATCAGGGCAAACGGCGCCCTCAAGACGGGCCTAGACGGCTCCAAGACGGCCCTTTGAGGGAGCCAACGCGGCCCCACACCCTTCGGGCGCACACTTGGGGGGGCTGGGAGCTTGCGACAAGTCTCCCACATTCATTGTCCTGCCCCATTCTGTTCGCCTGGAGGCCTCCTCCAACCCTGTGGGCGAACAAGAGGAATCCCAGCGGGACGCCAACCCTGGGGCCCGTGGGCCCCGCGCCGCTTGGGCAGAAGACGAACGCCGGGTCTGACAGGCCAGCTACCGCCCCCCTTTGCCCGATATGCTGTGCCATTCTGTTCCCCCAGGGGCCTTGGCAAACTCTTCGGGCCAAGCAGACCGGACCCCTGGGACAGCAGCCAATTGATATGACCCTGGGACCTCTCCGCATTCTTCGGACGAGCATCTGGGGGGCCCAGGAGATTCGGACATGTCTTCCCCATTCCTTGCCCTGTCCCGTTCTGTTCGCCCGAAGGCCTCCACAGACCCTCTGGGCGAACAGAATGGGACATGGCGAACAAACCCTCCCGTTGGCGGTGATGCGACTGGATCGCACCATCAAGGCGCGCCCGGAGGTGATGGCCGACCCAACAGCGGTTTCTCTTAAGAGTTCACTGGATTTCAAATTTTCTTGAAGCTCTCTTGGGCCCTCCCTGTAGATCCTTGCGAGCCTCCCCGGCGCTTTCGGTGGCTTTCCCCGATGGCCTCCCGAGCCCTTCCCCGAGCGCTCCTGAGACGCCTCAGATGGGCTTCGACTTCGACGCACATCCCCGAGAGACTTCGAAACTGTCCTCAATAGGAGGGGGGTGAACGAGCAGTGCGCTGGGCCAAGCTGCTGCAGCGCTGCAAGAGCTCGGACACGAAGGCGCGGTCTCGCTGCCGCCGCCCGAGCCGCCGCCGTGTTTGTAGATTTTCGGTACAATCTGCGCCGTTCCTCCGAGAACCATTCCAGAAAGATGTCGTGGACGGAGTCCACGGGTCAGCCCTAGTCTCTACTACATTGCAGGGCCCAGTGCGTGCCAGAATGGCGCAGGCCCCAATGCACCGAAACCGCCCCGGGCTGGCCCCGGGCCGCCCAGGGAGGCCCCAAGACACGTCCAGAGGGCCCCAAAAATCCCCCAAGACGGCCCCGGAGAGCCCCGGCACGCTTAAAGATGCGCCCAAGACGTCCGAGATTCGCCCCAGGAGGCCCTCGAGGCGTCCAAGACGCCCGAAGAGGCCTCCCAAGAGGCCTCCCAAGAGGGCCCCGAGCGACAGAAATCGTCGATTTCTATTGTGTTTTTCAATGTTTTCGGCCTCCTCGCCTCGTCGGCTTCCCGACGCTCCAGACGGCCCAAGACGCCCCCCCGACCGCTCCAAGACGGCCGAAGAGGACCCCAAGAGAGCCCCAAGACGGGCCCGGAAACGGCTCCGAGACGCTCCGGAGGCCGCCCCGAGGGCCCCCAGACGGTTTCGAGCCGCTCAAAGACGGCTCCGGCCCGCTCAAGATGCCCCGAAGGCGGCCCAAGAGGGCCCCGAGACGCGCAATGATCCGGCCAAGACGCCCCAGATTGGCCCAAGACGGCCCAAGAGCTCCCCAAGACGGCCCAACAGGCCTCCCAAGAGGCGCTCCAAGAGAGCACCGAGAGGCCAAAATCGTTGATTTTCATTTGTTTTTCCTAGGTTTTTTGCTTTCTGGCTTTTCCGGCTTCCCGACGCTCCGAACCCCCCCCGAGGCATCCAAGACCGCTCCAAGACGGTCCACGAGGGCCCCAAGACGGTCCAAGGCGGCCCCAGGACGGCCCCAGAGGCGCCCAAGACAGGCCAACGGGACCCCAAGATGGCCCGAAGAGCGGCCCAAGATGGCTCCAAGACGGCCCGAGGACCGCCCAAGAAGGCCCTAGGGGGCCCCAAGACAGCCCAAGGGGCGCGATAGACGAGCCCAGAGAGGCCCAAGAGGCCCCCAGGAGCCCAAAAGAGGTCCCCAAGAGGTGCCACGGGGGCGGACGAGGGGACCGCCTCAGGAGGTTTTGGACGGTTTTGGGCGTCAAAATCATCCGCTTTACGACGGTTTTGGAAGGATTTTGGCCTTCTCGCCTTTTCCGCTTGCCGACGCTCGAAGACGGCCCAAGAGGCCTCCAAGAGCGCCCCAGAACGGCCCAAGAGGTTTCCAAGAGCGCCCCAAGACAGCCCAAGAGGGCCCCAAGACGACCCAAGAGACGCTCAAGACGGCCCACGAGGGCCCGAAGACAGGCCCAAGAGGGGGCCAAGAGGAAGACCACGGACCGAAAATCCGAGCATTCCGCCCCAAGAGGGCGCCAGGACGCCCAAACAGGCCCCCAAGAGGCCCCAAGGGGCCGCCGAGAATCCCCCAAAGAGGCCCCAGGAGGCTCCCAAGGAGCCCAGACGAGGCCCCAACAGAGGCCCCAACAGCTTCCAAAATGGCCCCAAAGAGGCCTCGAGCCCGCCTCGGGTGCCAACACGGCCCCAGACGGGCCCAGGACGGCCCAAGGCGCGCTCAAGACGGCCCAAGACGATTCCAAGACGGTCCCAGGAGGGTGCGCCCAGGACGGCCCAAGGACGCGATGGGCCAAGATGGCAAGAGAGCCCCAGCTGGCAAAAATCGTTAAGTTTCCATTGTTTACTGTTACACCCTTTGCGTTTCCCGCCGTTTCGGCGGTCCTATGCACCAAGAGGCCCCAGAAAGTCCCAGGAGGGTCCGAGGAAACGCCCAGGAAGGTCCCAAGACGGGCCAAGACGGACCCAGCACAACCCAAGGCGCGCTGCGACGGCTCAAGACGGCTCCAAGACAGCCCCAAGAGGGTGCCAACACGGCCCCTGCTGGGCCCAGGACGGCCCAAGGAGGCGCACAGGAGGGGCCCAAGACGACTCCAAGGCGGCCCCCTCACGGTCCCAGACGGCTCCAAGACAGCCCCACGAGGACCCCGATGGGCCCAGGACGGCCTACGGACGGCCCATGAGGGGCCCACGACGAACCAAGACGGCCCCATCACGGCACACGGCGCCCTCAAGACGGGCCTGGACGGCTCCAAGACGGCCTTTTGAGGGAGCCAACGCGGCCCCACACCCTTCGGGCGCACACTTGGGGGGGCTGGGAGCTTGCGACAAGTCTCCCACATTCATTGTCCTGCCCCATTCTGTTCGCCTGGAGGCCTCCTCCAACCCTGTGGGCGAACAAGAGGAAACCCAGCGGGCCGCCAACCCTGGGGCCCGTGGGCCCCGCGCCGCTTGGGCAGAAGACGAACGCCGGGTCTGACAGGCCAGCTACCGCCCCCCTTTGCCCGATATGCTGTGCCATTCTGTTCCCCCAGGGGCCTTGGCGAACTCTTCGGGCCAAGCAGACCGGACCCCTGGGACAGCAGCCAATTGATATGACCCTGGGACCTCTCCGCATTCTTCGGACGAGCACCTGGGGGGCCCAGGAGATTCGGACAAGTCTTCCCCATTCCTTGCCCTGTCCCGTTCTGTTCGCCCGAAGGCCTCCACAGACCCTCTGGGCGAACAGAATGGGACATGGCGAACAAACCCTCCCGTTGGCGGTGATGCGACTGGATCGCACCATCAAGGCGCGCCCGGAGGTGATGGCCGACCCAACAGCGGTTTCTCTAAAGATTTCACAGAATTTCAAATTTTCTTGAAGCTCTCTTGTGCCCTCCCTGTAGATCCTTGCGAGCCTCCCCGGCGCTTTCGGTGGCTTTCCCCGATGGCCTCCCGAGCCCTTCCCCGAGCGCTCCTGAGACGCCTCAGATGGGCTTCGACTTCGACGCACATCCCCGAGAGACTTCGAAACTGTCCTCAATAGGAGGGGGGTGAACGAGCAGTGCGCTGGGCCAAGCTGCTGGAGCGCTGCAAGAGCGCGGACACGAAGGCGCGGTCTCGCTGCCGCCGCCCGAGCCGCCGCCGTGTTTGTAGATTTTCGGTACAATCTGTGCCGTTCCTCCGAGAACCATTCCAGAAAGATGCCGTGGACGGAGTCCACGGGTCAGCCCTAGTCAGCTACAACGCTGGGATCAGCGCGTGCGAGAAGGGCGAGCAGTGGCAGTGGGCCCTGGCGCTGCTGAGCGAGACGTGGCAGGCCAAGCTGGAGCCCGACGTCTTCAGCTACAGCGCTGGGATCAGCGCGTGCGCGAAGGGCGAGCAGTGGCAGCGGGCGCTGGCGCTGCTGAGCGAGATGTGGGAGGCGAAGCTGGAGCCCAACGTCATTTTGTCTTTATGGTGGACATCAGCGCGTGCCAGAGAGGCAAAACAGCGCATGTGCATAATTGCACCCCCTGGAGGGCCATTTTTCGACGCCTCTCACAAAGATCCTGGCCCCAGAGCGTCACAAATCGAGCCATCCGCCCAAAAACGCGCCGAAGTGGCCATAAGAGGCTCCAAGGAGCGCCCACGAGGCCCCCTAGAAGCCCCCAACAAGTCCCAAGAGGCCTCCAAGAGCCTCCAACAGTCCTCCGAAGCATGCCCACAGAGGCCAAAATCCTTAACTGTTCAATGGTTTTTGAAGGAGTTTTATCTTCTCGCCTTCTCAGCTAGCCGACGCTTCAAGACGGCCGCAGAGACCCACAAGACCGCCCCAGGACGGCCCAACAGGCCTCCAAGCGCGTCCCCAGACGGCCCAGGGAGCCCCAAGATGGCCCAAGAGGCGCCCAAGACGGCCCCAGAGGACCCCAAGCCAGGCCCAAGAGGGGCCAAAGAACAAAGAAAAACCCTGACATTCCGAGCCCTGGGCCCCCATACGCCCACACAAGGCCCCAAGACCCCCCCGAGGGAACGCCAAGAGGTCCCCAGAGGCCCCCAAGAAGCCCAAAGCAAGCCCCACGAGGCCTCAAGACGGCCCCCAAGAGGCCCCAAAGCTGGCTCCAAGAGGGACCCCAGAGACCTCCGAGCGTCGACGACTGACGAGAAGATCGACGGGATGAAGGATCGAGGGGAGGAGGAGGAGGAGGAGGAGGAGGAGGACACCCAAAATGGCCCCCAACGCCGATAAAAGCCACCGAGATGTCCCGAGCATGACCCGGAGGAGGCCCCAAGACGGTCCAGACACACCGAGATGGCTCCTAAAGAAGATCGACTGTATGACCGATCCAGGGGAGGACGAGGAGGGCGGCCAAAATGGCCCAAAAGCCGATACTAGGAGCCACAGAGATGTCCCGAGCATGCCCCGAAGAAGGCCCCAAGAGTGTCCAGACACCCCGAGAAGGCTCCTAACGCGCAGCCCAAGTAAGCGAAAGTTACAGTTACTTGACAGTTTCTCCAGCGTCCTATCGGTGATCCTCCCGTGCACCGGGCGCCTGAGCGGCCCCAGTGCGGGCCGTCTCGGCGCCGCGCCCTTTTGCGGGCCTCTTGGGTCGTATATCACGCGGCCGCAGCTAAGAGCAGGTAACATTATCACGGCGACCCGCCCCGCAAAAGCTACGATGAGCACAGAGCGCGGCGGAAGACACAGCTCCTGCCCACGCTACGTTGTGTCTACATTCGTTCCTGCCTTCAGGCCTGCTTGCCTGCATCCCTCGCCCACCTCCCCCTTCGGTGGCCGCGCCCTCCGTCCACGCCGTCCCCTCCAACCTCCCCCCCGCGAGGCCCCAGAGACGCTCCAGTTCCACGTCCACACCATGGCGGGCAGACTCCGCGGCCAGAAGGCCGCGGGTCAGCCCTAGTCTCTCCTGCATGGCCAGTGGAAGCGCGTGCGAGAATGGTTCACAGGGCCTCGTGTGGACAAAATCGCCCCTTTACGGCGCCACCATGGGGCCGAATCGCTCACGCCAATCCCAGAGGCGCTCCAGAGGGGTCCCAGACCGTCCAAGAGCGCTGCAAGACGGCCTCAGTGGATCCCGAGACGGCCCACGAGGGCCCAAAGCCTTTCGGGGGGGCTCCACGACGATCCAAGAGGCCGCAAAGACGCCCCAAGAGGGCCCCGAGCGCACGCCAAAGAGGCACACATCGTCAAATTCCTAGAGGAAAGCGTATATTTTCAGCATGCCCTCCTTGTGTGCTCCTCAGCGGCCCAGGACACGCCAAGAGGCCTTTCAAATCGTCCCAAGAAGACGCCAGCGGCCCCTCAGCGGGCTCCAAGACGGCCCACAAGGGCCCCAAGACGACGCCAGAGAGCCCTGAAACGGCCTCACAGAACCCCAAGACGGCCCCAAGAGAGTTCCGAGGGGGCCCCAAGAGGCTCCCAAGACGGCCTCAGGTAGCCTCAAGAGAGCTCCAAGACGGTCCAAGGCCTCCCGGACGCTCCGTGACGGCCCAAAATGGCTCCAAAACGGTCCAAAACGCTCCCAGAGCAGCCCAAACAAGCTTCATAATGACACGAAAAAGGCTCCCACAGGGACCACCAAGCAGGCCCAGAGACGCCCACTAAAAGAGCGATCGGTGAAGTACAAAGCGCTTTTCACCAAGGCATCCAAGAGCGAGACGCAGCGTAGAGAGCTCTCCCAGGCACAGCTCCCAAGAGCGAGCGGTGACGTCGGGACACCCTTCCGACCTCTCAGACAGGAGCACGCACGCACAGCACGCAAGCACAATAGATGTCCCGGCCTGTCCCCCGGAAGAGGCTCGGGGGGACAGCCCGGGAACGGCCCCAGAGGCGCCCCAAAAAAGTTCAAGAGAAAAGGCCCCCAGGAGGCCGCAAGACGGCCCAAGAGGGCCCCAAGAGGCCCTTAGGAGGCCGCAAGACAGCCAACGAGGCCCCAACAGGCCCCCAGGAGCTCGAAAAGAAACCCCGAGAGGCCCACTAACCGTTCCCAAGGAGACGGCAGCGCCCGCCATCAGGCTTCCAAAAAGCAACCGGAAAAAAGTCGCCAGAGCCCTCCGGGTGACTTTTTCAAGGCCCCAGGTGCTTTCAAAATTGACAAGCGGCGAGACATACACCGCAGACCCACCATAATCGTCTGTGACGCTCCGAAGGCTGTCTAGGCGGAGGTAGAGCGGAAGGCGGACGAAGAGAAGGAAGCGGTCCAAGAGGGCCTCCGAGACGGCCCAAGTTCGCTCGAAGACTCTCCAGACGAGCCGCGGCAAACGAAATCATTGATTCTTCTATGGTTTCTGAAAGATTTCCACCTTCTCGCCATTTCGAGCGAAGACAGGCCAAGACGGCCTTTTCGAGCCAAGACTGGCCCAAGATGACGTGGACGAAGTCCACGGGTTCGCCCTAGTCTCTACTACATTGCAGGAGCACGCGCGTGCCAGAAGGGCGCAGGCTCAAATGTCTCAAAACCGCCCCGGGCTGGCCCCGTGCCGCCCCGGGCCGCCCAGGCAGGTTCCAGGACATGTCGAGAGGGCCCCCAGAAGCCCCCAAGACGGCCCCGGAGAGCCCCGGCACGCTTAAACATGGGCCCAAGACGCCCGAGATTCGCCCCAGGCGGCCCAAGAGGCGTCCAAGACGCCCGAAGAGGCCTCCCAAGAGGCCTCCCAAGAGGGCCCCGAGCGACAGAAATCGTCGGCTTCCCGACGCTCCAAGACGGCCCAAGAAGCCCCCCCGACCGCTCCAAGACGGCCGAAGAGGACCCCAAGAGAGCCCCAAGACGGGCCAGGAGGGCCCCCAGACGGTCCCAAGACGCCCCAGGACGGCCCCAGGACGGCCCAGGAGGCGCCCAAGACGGCCCAAGAGGCACCCAAGACGACCCCAGGAGCGGCCCAAGACGGCCCACGACAGCCCAAGAGGCGCCGAGGCGGGTCTCAGACGGCCCCAAGACGGCCCAAGAGGCACCCAAGACGGCCCGAGAGGGCCCTAAGAGCCCCCCCGGGAGGCCCAAACGAAGGCCGAAGAGGCTCCGAAACGGCCCCCACGAAGCCTTCAGTGCCTTCAGAATTCCCTCCAGGAGCGGGGGAGCGGACGAGAGGCGACAGGCATATCGCAGGCAAAAACGCCCCAAGAGATCCCCAAACGGCCCCCACGAAGCCCTAAGTGGCCTCAGAATTGCTTCCAGGAGGGGGGGAGCGGACGAGAGGCGACCGGCATATCGAAGGCACAAAAGAACAATGTTGGACGCTCCGAGGGCCTTCGATGTTTCTCCGTTGGGGAGAGTCGTCGTAGGATCGACGATTGCCGACCGAGGGCAGCGAATCCAGTGGAGGCCCAAGAGGCCCCCAGGAGCCCAAAAGAGATCCCCAAGAGGTGCCACGGGGCTTAAAAACTGCTTCGAAGCGAGGGGGGCGGACGAGGGGACCGCCTCAGGAGGTTTTGGACGGTTTTGGGCCTCAAAATCGTCCGCTTTACGACGGTTTTGGAAGGATTTTGGCCTTCTCGCCTTTTCCGCTTTCCGACGCTCGAAGACGGCCCAAGAGGCCTCCAAGAGCGCCCCAGAACGGCCCAAGAGGCTTCCAAGAGCGCCCCAAGACAGCCCAAGAGGGCCCCAAGACGACCCAAGAGACGCTCAAGACGGCCCACGAGGGCCCGAAGACAGGCCCAAGAGGGGGCCAAGAGGGGGACCACGGACCGAAAATCCGAGCCTTCCGCCCCAAGAGGGCGCCAGGAGGCCCAAACAGGCCCCCAAGAGGCCCCAAGGGGCCGCCAAGAATCCCCCGAAGAGGCCCCAGGAGGCTCCCAAGGAGCCCAAACGAGGCCCCTACAGAGGCCCCAACAGCTTCCAAAATGGCCCCGAAGAGGCCTCGAGCCCGCCTCCGAGCTTCCTCGCCGCGAGGGTGCCAACACGGCCCCAGACCGGCCCAGGACGGCCCAAGGCGCGCTCAAGACGGCCCAAGACGATTCCAAGACGGTCCAGGAGGGTGCGCCCAGGACGGCCCAAGGACGCGCCCGTTCGGGGCCTCAAGACGGGCCAAGATGGCAAGAGAGTCCCAGCTGGCAAAAATCGTCAATTTTCCATTGTTTAATGTTGCACCCTTTGCGTTTCCCGCCGTTTCGGCGGTCCGATGCACCAAGAGGCCCCAGAAAGTCCCAGGAGGGTCCGAGGAACCGCCCAGGAAGGCCCCAAGACGGGCCAAGACGGACCCAGCACAACCCAAGGCGCGCTGCGACGGCTCAAGACGGCTCCAAGACAGCCCCAAGAGGGTGCCAACACGGCCCCTGCTGGGCCCAGGACGGCCCAAGGAGGCGCACAGGAGGGGCCCAAGACGACTCCAAGGCGGCCTCCTCACGGTCCCAGACGGCTCCAAGACAGCCCCACGAGGACCCCGATGGGCCCAGGACGGCCTACGGACGCGCCCATGA